CCGAGGCGGAGGCTGGGGGCGCTCCGGGTCCCCCTGGGCGTGCACCGCGCGCGGGCGCCCGTCCCGGGCCGCGTCCCTCCCTTCCCCGGGAAACTCGGGTCCTGACTTTGCTCTGAACGCGGCCCCCGGAGCCACGGCCAGCGGATGTGACGAGGCTGCTCTGCTATCAGAGGGAAAGTTTCGGGAACCCTTAAAGGGGCAGCGAGGGCCCGAGCGAGCCCCGGGACCGGCGGGTGTCCCCTCGCCCTACGCGATGACTTGGGGGTTAGGGACGACAGCCTGGGGTTGTAAAGGGCGAGTTGGAGCCCGCGCCGCCCCTCGCCGGGCGCACCCCGTCCGTGCCAGGCTGCTTCCCCTGCGCCCCTCCCCCCCCACTCCACGCGGGCTGCGGAGGAGCCTGGGCCGACCTGGGGCGTCTCGGGGTGCTGGAGGCCGGCAAGGCGCGAGCTTCACCAGACTGGGTCGGGAGCTGGGCTGCAGCCTGCGGGAGCTAGCTTCGCCCCTGGGAAGGTGTTGCTTCCCGGTCCAGATCCACCCCTGCTGTGCCGCAGACAGGGTCCTGCTGCGGGCTGCGCTCTCCCTTCGCCCGGAGTCCTCTCAGCCCCCGGTCAGTGCCTGGCTGTGTGATCTGGACCGCCACGTGGACTCCGCTGACACGACCCTCCCCCGCCCCGCATCAGCTAATTAATACGCGCCCAGCCGTGTACCCCAAGTCGGGGACTGCGCCCAGTAATGCAAGCAGTGAGGGTATTTTATTTTAGGTACCGCGGGGTGGGGAGGGGTGGCCGGGACAATTGCACAAGCTACTTTCATCGATTTCCACTGAAATCTCACTGTCTCCTCCAGCTGAATTATGGTGGCTGTTTTTTTTTTTTTTTTAACAGCCCAGCTTCAAACAGTGAGGAGGTGGAAGCCAAGTTTCCTTTCTCCGTGAGACTTCTAGCGACTTCCACGCAGGACTTGACCTTTATTCCTGCCTCCCCAAAGTTAGTGTCTTATCTTGCTTTGCAAGAGACCCTGTGTCGGAGATCTTCTGCTGTATTGATTTTCCGAAGACTTTTTAAAGTATAAATCACGTTTCTTCCAGACTGAATCGCAACTGTAACAAATCCCCAGCTGCACGAGGAAAAGCCTAGTTGGGTCCGGGGGTAGAAACTAAATTGATATTCTCCATAAATCTGCATAGTTATTCCTGAGCTATTACATTCATGTATTCACATTTCCTATTCAAGGCTGTAAAGGAAGTACGATTTTAAAGAAATGATTACTTAACCTCCCTGGTGTCCAGTCTGAGGGGTTCAAAAGACATTCAGACAGCTCTCAGAAGGATATAAGCCTTGTGAAAGTGCGTGGAATTTATCAACGACGTTGACACAGAGGCCCCGTGATGTATATGTTCAATATTAAAGGCGTTTGCTCTCTCTGATAGTTAAAAGCCACGAGGGAAATTTGTAAAACTCTAGTCTAATTAAAGTTTGTACTTGGAATTCCAGATTCCGTGTGGTGCGTACGTTCCCGAGCTTTTCGAGTGCGAGGGCGGCTTGGCTTCTCAGGGAAACACGAGCACCAAGACCGGGAGCAGGTGCGGGTTGCAGAGTGGCCGAATCGTCTGGTGGGGAAATGATGTGTGCTGAAGTGGAGCATTTGGTGACTGTCCCCTCCTGGTCCTTACAAATGGTCATTCTGATCCCGACTCGGGACCATGATGCTGGCTGTGGGAAACAAGGGTTTCAGCAGCCAGGTGTTCAGGTTGGATGATATTTGGCAGGGCTGTCTTGGGGCACTGCTGGTTTTACTTTTTTTTTCAGTCTTGAAGCACTTCCTGAAGAAAAGTCCACCTTCCACAGTCAGGATGAGCAGGACCAAGGAGAGGAAGGTGCACTCTGCACGCCCTGGGGGCACCCAGCACCCTCTTCCTACCGACCTCCTTCTTCCTCCCCTCCCCTCCCCTCCTCCCCTTCCTCCAAGCTTCTGGAATCACCTTCATTGTCAGCTGCAGTCTCCTGGTCCTCTCTAGATAGCAGAAGCCTGCAATGAGAAGGCCTTGATCCTTGGAAAGAATACTAGCATGATGTGATCGAAAAAGAATACAATGGATGCTTACATCTTTTAAATTTATTGTAGTAAAAGAGACATTGCCATGAATCCCCTCAACATACTCCCTCTGGCTTTGAACACACTTATCCCATGGTCCTGGCCACGTCCTGCAGCAGCTCTGGAGTCCTCTGTCCTGAGTGTCTGTAGTTGCACTGTTGTAGCTGCCTCAGTGTCCTGACTTCATTCAAAACATTTCCCTTTCATGGTCATTTTGACTTTGGGGAGAAGCCAGAAGTCTCACAGAGCCAGATCTGGTGACTAAGGTGGATGAGGACCCAGCAGTTGTGCTTTTATCAGCTGCCTTTCCACTGGGCGGCACTGGGCAGCAGCAGTCACTGTATTTTTTTTTTTTTATCACATTTTGTAAAGACACTCAGGAAAGAGGACTCCAGAGCTGCATCAGAAAGTGTTGAGAAGGGTGGGATAAATATGTTTGTGTGTGTGTTGGGGGTAGGTTTTGAGGGTAATCATTATGTTGAGAGGATTAATGGCGATGTGTCTTTCACTATAATAAATTTGTAAAACTTTAAACCTCAGCATATATTTTGATCACCCCTTGCAGCCCTTCAGCATGTCCCTGGATGCAGAAAGAGGAAATTGTCATCTTGTAGCTCTAGGAGCTAATCAAGGCCTCCTACGGGAGTTTAGGGCTGTCAGCTGGAACGGGCATGGCACCAGTGTGTTCTGGTGGTGACTACTGGCTCTTACTGCCAGCTCTGAGTTCCTTTTACACCAGCAGTTCTCAAACTTTCTGGTCTTGGGACCCCTTTACACTCAAAAATTATTAAGGGCCTCAAAAAACTCTTGTTTACATGGGTTGCATCCATCCATATCTACTAACTAGGAATTCAAACTGAGAAATGTTAAGGACACCTAATAACGTATTGTTATGCCGTGCAATGTAATACGCATAACGCTAATAAACGTATCACACAGCAATACCGCTACCATGTTAATGAAAACTGTTTTTCACTAAAAGTACTGAAAGCGCTGGCATTATTTTGCATGTCTGCAAATCTCTTTAAATGTCTGGCTTAATAAGACTGCTGGCTGCTGCTGGCTGCTCCCGCACTTAGTCTGTTAGGCTGTTCACGTCCCGAAGCCTAGCACTTCAGAGTTATCGTGAAGATGGTTTGGAGCTAATGGACCTGGAGGGGGTCACACCGCCACTTCCAGAGCCAGTGTTCTGTTCTCTTTCATCTGTGTCGTAGGTCATTTTCAGCATGTGGTGAAGGTGTCCTACATAGCAGGCACTGTGTCAGCAGCTGGGAAGAAAGGGTTAAATATGAGCTAGGCCTTCTCTTCATTATGCAGACCAGACCAGGAGCATCCTTCCTCCTTGTCTACCCCAGAAGCTGCCTGACTTCAGAGCGATGCCATCTCCCTGCAGCCCTGACGCATCCCTGTCTTCTGTAACTCCACGTTCTGCCTGGAACCGCCTCAGCAGCTCATAAACACACGTACGCTCTTATGTCTTATTTACATTGTAGACCTTTCCTGATCTAACGTCTCTGCGGATCACAGCCTCATAACTCCCTCCCTCTCTGGTGAACTTCTGGAGAGCTTGAAATTGCTGTCTACATTCCTTACCAACTTCCTCCTCCTTCACCCGCTCCCCACACACCCCGAAGACCTCACTTGAAAGTCAGCACACGGCAATCCTCACCCTTCCCCAGCCCTCGACAGCATTCCACACTGGTGACCGCAGGCGCTATCCTTGGCTTTGTGTTTGTTGGACGCTCCAGACTGAGCTGCCTGCAGTTGTTCTCTAGCGAGGTTCCCGTGTATTCCTGAAGTCTCCTACCATGTAAATGGCTACTCTTTTGTAGTGTTTATGGAAAAGTTGCACAAACTTCAGGCATCCTTTGTTCTCAAATTAAGCTTTTTAAGTATTACTTCCCTTTAGAGAGAACCAGGGTTGCCTGGAGAAGGCTGACGTCCTAAATGGAATGGGACAACCTCGAACATCGCCTCACACCGGAAAGCAAGGATGCTTTCAAAGCTGTCTGCGGTTTTGTCACAAGCTGAGGCGAAACCGGCACAGTTTTAATGTCACTAGAAGCAGTCACTGCAGTGGTTCAAAAACATTTCAATTATGTCGAACTCTATTTGTTCATAATGTTCTTTTCCAAAACACATTGATTACCTCGGAAGAGTACTAAGGAACCCAGCTGATTATTTTTAAGAGCTGGCAAGGAAAGGAAATGAATGGAGCGTTTATTATTTTGACTTTCTGGTTCTAACTATCCCCGAACTCTAACCAAATAATTGATGATGGCAAGTTTCTCTTCGTAGATGTAAAGCAGCTGAGAAACGAGGCGGGGATGTTCGGATACCACAGCCCTGGAGGTTTAATGGATCTAGGCACTGAAGGCATTGAACGTACATGGCAGAGGGAGAAAGACAGAAGGAGAGAAAGGGAGAGAGTCCACCCCAGATGGAAGCCCACCATGCTGCCTGTAGCTTGTCCTTCCCCACAGAATCAAACCTGAATCTGGCCAAGCCTCTGCATCACATGCTGGATACTTCCTGGGACCCAAATCTGGCCTACACTTGTAGAAATAAAAGTTGTATAGACACACAGCTGTGTTCGCCGGTAGTTGAAAGTATCACCCAGAAAGCCTCAGGTATTTACTGTCTAACCCTCTTTAGTGGAGTTACCGACCCGGTAACACAGCCAAAGGGCCCCAGAACCCCTGCCGACCCGTTGCAGCACCTGGACTTCATCTGGACTCTGGTTAGAACAAAAAGATAAAGTCATTTATGAGACAATTAGAGAAACTAAACACTGGTTGGTGACCTCATGGAATCCTGGTTAATATTATAAGATGTGATGCCGTGTGTGTGTGTGTGTGTGTGTGTGTGTGTGTGTGTGTGTGTGTTCTTATCCAGGGGGGACATGTGCTGCCACACCCGGGTGCAGTGAGGTTTGTCTCACCATAATAAGTTAGCAGAGTGGTGTTCTCGGTGAGCTGTATCACCCTGGTGGCCGTCAGCCAATCCTGTCATCATGCCCATGGTCAGGTGAGAAACTGAGGCACAACGGGCAGTGGGAATGGCACTCAAAACCCTAGATCCAACTTGAGAGTTTCTGCTGTTCACTGTGGGGGTTCGGCCACCCAGTGGACGTGCCCTCTCTGGAGGTCACAGAGTGCCCAGCTGGAGATGACCCACAGAGCACCACCTGCCTGGGGAGCAGGTTACAGACTGGAACGCACTTCCTTTTTGGGGCCCCAACCCCACTGGGCTCCAGTGCAGGGTGCGGGCCTGGAGGGTGTGGGTCTAAGTCACCAGGTGCCCAAGCTGAGCTTGAAAATGCAATTGTCCTGCTTCAGCCTCCCAGAATGGCGT